AATTGATTGGATAGATGAAAAGTATACATCCATTAACCTTTTCGTACATAATGGTGTAACATTTTCTCATTACTGTGCCTCACGTATGGAGTCTTGCAGTCATTACCTTTTTTTTCAAGAATGTAAACGTAGTAATTAGACCCCTGTATTTGTATCCGTTGTCTTCCGCGCTGACCTGCCGTTTATTCGTGCTGGTATGGGGACTATGAAGGGTACATTTTGGTGAATGATGACGAATGGAAGTTATGGTATCACAAGTCAGCCACACCACAACCAGATAATAAGGAAACACTGTTTCTCTCGTGGCAATCAGGTCTCACTTGGAGGTATCACGTGTCTACATCGCACTTCTGCTCAGAATTCTTGGACCCAGCAACAAGCCTCTAAGCCACTGAAGGCGATCTATTAAAATCCCGATTGATTAGTTGATTAATTATTTCATGATTCCGAGCGCATCAACGGCCGTGGTAATTGATTCCGTCAGTGTAGTACATGTGCTTATCACTGGAGGTGGTTGTGATATTTCCCTGCTGGAGTGAGATTGCCGCCGACCTACACGTCGGCTTGAGGGTTTTCCCTATCAGAGGGACACCACCCCAGTCAGGACAAGATCTTCCGAAAGTCTCCAAATGTGTGAAAGTGTAGTACATTTATGTGCAAGTTTTTCTACGAAAGGGGTAAACATATAACAAGGAAGAGGAAGGAAAGCTTTTTAGAATACTGCTCTGGCATTCGCCTGATATTAATAGGAGAAACTAGCGATCAGAGCAACCGACCGCTAGAACTATCCTCCAGACAGCGGCTGAATTCGACCCAGCTATCTAGCTTGCCGTTTTTTGGTCTCGACCCCTAGAACCACGGTCAGAGGCTCTGCAATGCCATCAGTTGATGACCTGAACCAACTCAGCGCGACTCAAATACAGACTTAATATATTTTTGTTTTATTTTTAAGTCGACCAAGATGTCGCAGGCAATTGTAGTGGCACCTTCTGTGCGAAACCTTCAGTTATTAGTTCGATCCCAACCTAAGGTATGGAAGTATATTTCTAATGCGGAAAATGACGAATCATATCTGAATCATTAGTCATTTCGTATTGCTGGGTAAGATCAAGCACGAGCTTTTAGATACTTAGTTGTCAACATTCCTCCAGGAATAAAGACAAAAAAAAATCTGAAGAAAATAAAATATTTATAAATTAGAATAAGTAAAACTGACTCGTCTTCATATCGTAAACACTTCGAATTACATGGAAATATAATTTAAAAAATATATTAGTGCTTCAAAACGGTTCCATTTGCAATATTCTTGCTTTTGCTCGACAGATGTGTTTCTCACTATTAATCGTTGGAAGATGCATAGAAATGATAATTTGTCACTGTATCATTTTCAAACAAACTGGAGAATTAGATGAATACGAAAAAATATGGAAAATGAACTCAAAAACAATTTTTCCAGTGACATCAATGATGGAAAAAGTCTCCACTCTTTGCTTCCTGATAATAACAGTAACAAGTATTGACCCCACACTTACATACGTCAACGCCTTCGCAATGTCGTCAACATGACCAGCAAGTACCTCACACAACAAAACTCAAGGCGCTGGAATTGCAGTGGGTCAGTATCTTTTCCGTCTTTGTGCCTAAGGAGACGTGCGCGTTTGAATGCATTATCATTTTTATTGCAAATTTAACGCCTTAAACGAGTTTGACATCACTTATGATCAGTGTGGTTACATTATTCTCCTGGAAATGGGAGAAGACGGAGTATTTGCGACTTTGACAAATTCAATGTCATTAGTGACTCGTGATTGGTATATCAGAGAAATGATAGATATAAAATAAATTAGCCAATAAATTATATTACATTTGCTGGTTTTAATTTTTTATGTAATAATACTGACGTTCCACCGTTTGATTATATTTTTTACCTTTAGAGCAGTATGCAAAACAGTACTACATCTATTTACTATCTCAAATTACCAAAGTAATTACCTTCAGAAAAAATTTCGATTGGTTAAAGAATGATAAGGATCTTGTTTTCAATTACCTGTAAATATTTACAAAACAGTATGTATAAATATTTACTACTATAGTTCCAGTATAATGCTATTATCACTCATAAAAATTAGCATATGTAGTATCGTTTATCATACATTTTGTAATTTCGTAAGGAAACTAGCCTACATACGTTTCAGTTTTTGTAAAATTTAGATGTTTAAACCCAATATGTGAAATACAAATGTCGAAGTTGATTTATTTAAACATTTTGTTTCGTCCCGGTCGATTTACAATTACTGCTCCGCCGACTAACCACAATGGCGAAGTTCTATAGTCAGTCGCCGAGATAGTGCGAAGATGTCTCAATTGTAACCATCTGTCGAGTTAAAAGAGTCAATTTAAGATATCGAGAGAGAAGGTACACGAAGGAAAGAATACTAAGTTGTTTGCGCATAATATGAAAATATTGTTGTAGGTTTTAGCAATCTCTCTTCAAAATTTCTTCGAGAAACAATTTGAACACATTCATTGGGATGTTTTATTTATTGCAATAGAATATAATGATGAGGATAATTTATGATTCTAGTTCGTTTGCATGTACGTAAGTTTAAATTGTGTAATATGTACGAATGCATTTATGTATGCATATGTGTGAACATGCACATTTGAATGCAGTCGGTTTAGTGAAAATGTATCAATAAAATAGAAAGCATTATTCCGTTTAAATTTACAAATGGAGGAGTATGTTAATAACTGCTACTTATGCAATGCAGCCTAATGTTAAAGAGCGAGATCAAAACACTCTGTTTTTGCCACACAAGAAAATGAGAAAAATCATTATTTCCGCATGTAAGCAGAGTTTGAGAGAATATTACTTTATTTACGTAACCAAAGCATTGAGATCCATATGACTACACATGTGTAACGCCGCAATAGCCTTAAAACTAAACTACGATCTCGTAGCGACATACTTCAGAAGCCGACATGTCATCTTAATGCAAACTTACTACGTGTCATAGTAGATTGGTCTGCCTTTTTCCCTCATAAGCTGTAATTGTTATAATAGTTTCTCCAACCCCTTGAAAGATATTTTATTATCGAACAACGATAAAGTATTTTTAAAAAATCCTGAGATTACATCGCCACGAAACGGCCCTGAGTAGCGGTGCTGGATGGTCGCCCAGCGACGGCACTGGGGCGGCACCTCGGTACCACCGCGACAGGAGCACCTCGCCCTGTGCCACCGCCGCTGCCTCGGCTCCTGCGCTCACAGCGGGGCTTTCCCCGAGTCCGGCTCCGCCTCTGACTTGTATAGGGACAGGGACAAGGCGCCGTTCAAAGAGGAGCACGATTTCGTTGGACTCTGCGTCACAGGTATTTCTTAAATGCTTCGGTTGTCACGCGTCTACAAAAACGTCACACACTCACCAGAAAGGTGACAGGCCTTCAAACGAAATGATGAATAATGTAATTCAAATGTACATTTTTACGACAATTTAAAGAACCGTACATGTTATTTCCAAAATAAGTGATATACTTACAACTCCTATTGACATTTGTCCGGCTCGGCTTCCGATTTGTGTAGGGATAGGAACAAGGCGCCGTTCAAAGAGAAGCACGATTTCGTTGGACTCTGCGTCACAGGTATTCCTTAAATGCTTCGGTTGTCACGCGTCTACAAGAAGGTTACACACACCAGAAAGGTGACAGGTCTCTAATTAATATAATTCAAACGTACATTTTTACGACAATTTAAAGAACCGTATTTGTTATATCCAAAATGAGTGGTATACTTACAACTCCTGTTGGCATTTTTGAATTGTTGAAGATAGTGTAAGAAATTCGCATAAACATGATAGGTCGTGATTTTCATTTATTTACTCAGCTTTCTTTATGGCTAGAGCTGATACATTTTCAAACACATAAATAAAAATTATTCTTGAAAACTGCACCCCATTCTCATACATTCCCTTTCTTTATCTTTTCCAACATTTTCTAGCTGTTCCTCCTCCGTTTTCTAAAACCTTTTTATTCTCTAATGCCAAGCCTCTCGCCTATCCTTTAATTTACTCCTCCCTATTTCTTTTCTAATTATATTCCCCGTCGTGACCCTCTCCAAGCACCATTTTAAAAATAATTCTTGACAAGCTTTTATCTTTCTTCCTATTCCCACACCCTCACCTTGCCATCATAAAATTTCCTTTTAATATCAAACTCCATTTAATCACCCATACCTGCTGCTAGTATATAAGGTGCTACGTGTGCTAGTATCATTGTGTTGCATTTTAAGTTTCATTTAAGTTTTTAATAGTTAAATTTTGAGTACTCCACAAGGTTTGCAAGGTGTTAAGGTCAATGTGATGAAAAAAAAATATAATACCAAATTAAGGGATTTCAATTTTATTACTTGTTAGCAGATCATTTCCGTCGATTGGCAATTTCTATTTATCTTTTTAACATTAACGAATTCGATTACAAAATGCAGGTTTTATTAAAAACTCTTAAATATTTGTGGATATCCACAAAATGATGAGCTAGTATTATACATTTCTTGGATGACACACGTGACGTGGCGAATGACCGTTTTACGAGCACATTACGCTAACATTAACCAAATATATTTAGTCTACGTAATTGGTTCACAGTATGAGAACTGAGAAGAATACTGGAATGTAATCGCGTCGACCTAATAAATGCGAATCTTGCTCGACAGCATTTCGGGACGAGTGCTGCCCGTACTGCAGGAGCGCACCTGCAAGAGCGCTGTGACAACTCTCTCCCCCCTTCACGCTGCTGTGGAGCGCCAGGAGAGCGCAGCGGAGCCCATGGCAGGCGAACGCACGTCCACGTTCGACGCCCTAGCGGTGGGTTCAACACACGCGCCGCCGAGCACGGAAACGCAATACTCGTGCGAAACAACCGCACTTGCTTATCCCACATTTCACATTCACCAGTCACTCCGTGGCACACGAAATGCTTTGAGATAACGAGTACTGCAAGTCTAATTTCGCATCTGTATTTTCTTCATGTGTTCATAACGTACCCACTTTCTTTTGACAAACGAAATTATATCATATTAAATTTCCCAGGTATAAACACATTTTGGGAGGCATATCGTCTTAAAACTACACACTGACAAACTTTCTCCATATATTTCCCATCATTAATCATAAAAAATCATTATAAAGGCAGTGAATTTGTTTTTAAATTCTGGCGTTGATCCAAGAGAAAGAGCCGATTTTATTCAAAAGATTAACAACACACAACGCCTGTATTTTGTGGTAATGTGTTTGTGTTTTTCTCTCTGTGGCAGCGGAAGATATAAAAAGAATAGGAAACATTTTGTTCCTGGAAAAATACAAATAGTATTAACATGGTTAATGAGAATGTAATGTTGGCTTTACGTTTCGGGCTTCGTTCTCTAACTTTGTCATCTAAAGGTTATCTACATTTTTCGTGAATTATTGAAAGTTTCATTCTCATTATTGTAACCAGCCATATCTTTGGTGCTGGCCATGTATTAACAATAGTCAAACAAATGAGAAACGTTGGTGCAAAATTTCCAAGTTCATAAGTTGGTATGATATTTCATTAGGATTCACTTTACTGAGTCGCGTAATCGCCTTGAGTTACGTAAACAACCGAAATGCGACATAGTATGAAATAAAAAAAATTGAAAGACACCACACATTAATTATAATATAAATTATTCAAACCCAATAAAAATATAGTAGAGTTAGAAGAGCTGGCCTGCTAAACGAAGCGCATATTCTGAAGGAAATCTATTTACATCCAATTCGCCTTGACTGCAGCTGTTGGACGCCGTTTCCGCGTGGGCGACCTCCACGTGGACGCACGTCAAGATGGACCAGCAGGCCTTCGCCTTCTGCATGGGCGGGCTGCTCGTCTGCGGACTCGTGCGTGTCCTTCAACTCTCAATTGCATCTCGTTAGCACCAGAGTAGCGTAATGACCAGATGAGAAAATTTGACATTCAGTTCTCATGATAATATTTCTGATGTAATTCTAGGGTTTATTAAAATGTACCTTACACGAGTCGAAGAATTAATACGGTAAACATCTCTCCGAAGCTCTTGTACGGTGTTTTCGCTGACGGGCACTAATGCCATTGCAGTACCCGGGGAACATAGTACATGGAGGGGGAAACGAACGCAGCATCTCAGATTAAATGACAAAAAAAAGAAAGAACATTTTATATTTTTCAGAAATAATGTGTTAATAATTTAGCAATTTATTAAAAACAATTTCTCCAAATTTATGTTGAAATACTTTCCGTTTTATAGATTTTAGAAAATGTATTTTTAACATTTTCTGTACTTTGTTCTTTCCGCACAGACACAGAGAGCAGTGTCCTTTTATTGTGAACTACATAGTTCAACAATGTTTCTTCTATTGCACAACTGTTCACTACATCGATAGATTTTACATACTATTCCAATGTGTTTGGATTTTTTTCTAAACATCCTGTAAGCTTTGAAAGTTAAAAGCATCACTCGAACTAAGAATGGTTATAATAATAAAAGTTCTAAACGATGAATCAGTAAGTCCTTACCCAAACAACGATAGAGGAATAAACTTCTGCTGGGATCTGGCGTTGACTCCCCTTCCATTGGAATGCAAATGTTAACAGAATTTTACAATATTTAAGCAAGTTAGTATCTGTGGTTTGTGTAATTTTTGTGAACTCACTGAACTAAAGATAATTGTACGCTAAGCATTTGTAAAATGTGAAACAAGTCCCTTCATGCATTTCAAACACATAATGAATTCATAAAAATTAAGATTTATTATACAAGAGATCAAACATGACACATAAAGTGTAGTATGGGCGGGGGAAATATACAAAAGTTTTTGCGCTCAAGATAAAAATGAGCATATAAACTGAAATAGCAAATTATGTTACTAGTTCATAATGTTAAACTTTATTGCGTGGGTACCTGTTTTGAAAACGAGCGAGCTTAAGAGCGAGTTTTCAAATTTGAATGAATGCAATAAAGGGACATAACGAGTATAAACGAGTTGCTATTTCAGTTTAGCTTTTTTTGTATTATTATTATTATTATTATTATTATTATTATTATTATTTATTATTATTATTTCTATTTCTACATTATTACATTATAAATTTGTAAAAGAATCAAAGTTAATTTTCAGAAACCACTTTATAGTGACGTCACACATTTTTGCAAAAAAAAAGTCTTTTCGAAAGATATCTTGCGACGAATAAATCGTTTATAAAATCATATATAATATTGTTTGCGTTAATAATCGCATATAAAAATGTAATGTTATTTTGATAGAACATTGCGAAATAATGCTCTTACTATTATTTTCTTACGCCTATCATTACATTGCCGTGCTTAGATCTGGGGCCGCATCTGCGCGTGGGTGTGGCGCGGGAGGGCCGCGCCTGAGAACTCGCAGCTGAAGCTTCTGAAGGCGGTGGAGGCGCGCGTCTACGAGAACGAACTCCTCCACGAACGGGTTGGCAAAACCTCTCTGCTCCTTCTGACATCATCTTAATCTTGTAGACGACTGAGACTCGAAAAGGAAAGTATCTGAAGTCATTTATTTTAGATGAAAATAAACATAATGATGCTCTTACAGTGGAAGAGAGTAACAATGACAGATACTTTTTTATCAACAATGTGATTTAGTGAATGCTTTTTGGTAGACTTGTTACGTCTGTCAAAGTTGGTGACGGTTCAGAGTTTGAAAATAGACTACTTTGGGAGAGGAATTTTACGCAAACAAAATTGATTTCCTACTTATCTCAATCAAATTGAGCGAGATTTTTTTCACAAATATTTCAATAATTTAATCTAACGGTTTCAAACAGCGTGAACAAACGTTTATACAAATTATCAAGTTCACGTTTTCCGTTTTTTAATTTCATTTTACGAATTACTCTTCTAGACTCAAGTTTTTAGATCCCAACGAAATAAAATAGGTTCTGATTAATTAACTCCCAAAATATACACCCAATAATTTATTAAATTTCAAAATTTAATACTATACTTTCAAAATGTTGTATTCCCTTCGCAACTTCAATCGTTTATGAACATTGTTGTTTATCTCGTATATTTTCAAATGACATCTATCATACCATCACTCTCCTATACAACTAAATATTTATAAACTTTTCCACGTTTGATCTAGGAAACATAACACGCATTACTTACATTTATTTGTTACCATCAGTTGTGATGTCTCATTAAACTACAATTGGATCCTAGTAGTTGAATTTATTCCAATTGTCACTTACTGCTTTCAATATGTTTCAGTTATTACATCAAGCGTATCGAGGTAAACTACTGAAAAAGGAGGTAAGAATTACTTTTGTCCAAGGAAAAAAATTAATAAAGAAATAGGTGTTCATGATCTTTAAAAAACATTTAAATTAAATAAGAAACTACGAGACAGTAAAAATTTGAAGTCTCCTTACAGTTCCGAAGCATTTCAGCTCAATTCGAAATCTTGCACTAAAACCTATTCACTTTGTCATTTTAAGTTTGCAAATACACACATTTTAACGAATCATTTTCTCAACGCAAACGCTTTCCTGTCAAACCAACAACAATAACCGCGTGCTTGGCTGCGCATGCGCAGATGCGGTGGCTGCGAGAGTGCCTGTACGAGACGCGCCAGCGCCTGGATGAGCTGCGAGGGCAGCAAGGCCTGGTGAGTAGAGTTCTTTTTGGATTTAAGGCACTGATACTCTTTCTTCAGTATAGATCATGTTACAATGATCAATTACCTTGCGGGTACAGTGGCATAATGATCAGCGTATTGGACAACTGTATCCAAGTTTCCGGATTCAAAGCCGATTGAAGCAGTCGATTATTTAAGGGCAAACAAATATTTCGTTAGCCTTTCGATACTCTTTCGTTCCCACGGAGTGGAAGTAAAGCCGGCTGTCCTATGTTGTACGTATACTGCATGTAAAAGATCATTAAGCATAAAATGTCTTTGGGGTAAATTCAAAACCGCCTGTTTAGTCGCCCGAGTAATACATTCTTTTTCTGCTAGATGGAGAAAGGAACGTAGCAAAATTTGCGTGGTCAGACGGAAGACCGAGCCTGATGGCCGAGTGTCGCTACGTACAGCATTAACAATAAATATCGATAAATCAATAATATCGTGATATCACACGAAATTATTTCAAACTCTACAATCGCAGAAGTCACAAAAGAAATCACGTTTCTTCAAAGTCAGAAATAACGTAGAGGGGAGTATGTTTTAAGAGTTAATTTTAGTAGTTATTAACGTTCATAGGTCGTTAAACATCAAATAAGAGTCGTGGTTTCAGTTTGTAAACCGAGATGAACTTTTATAACTACTGTACTGTTATCGACCGCATACCATTCAATACATTTTATAATAAATACTACCTTCTTTTGGGAAAAATAATATAAACAAAAATGCCATATTTGAACGAGTATTCATCCACTATCACTAATTTGTTTTCACTGATATTTCCGGAGGGTGGACTGTGCATCCTATAAAGGCGGCTCCACACATTCGGCATTGGTCGAGCAGCGTGCTACTGCTTTCCCAATCCCCAACAGCTGATATGTTCTGCAAATGTTCGCTCCCTTTGATGTGTCGACGGAGTGTTCGGCGCTCGGCGGATCGCAAGCCACCCATTCACAATACTCGGGTTGCGGGGAGCGGTTGCTCGGGATTCGCCGATTGCTTCATGTGTTGAGCCACCTTAACGGATGCTGCCCTGTCACATTTGCTTTCTGCTGCTCTGGTTGGGAGAAATAAGAAGAGTGTCATTAAAGTAAAATAACACAACTTCCCTCCTGGCTTCTTATTCGCTCGCCGTACCTGACTCTACTTGCATAGCCGTCTGTGACTTGGTGTGTGTGTGGCGCGCAGAGCTCCGGGTCGGAGTGGGGGCTGGGCGCGGGGGCGCTGGCGGGGGCTGCGAGCGCGGGCGAGGGGCGCCTGGTGTCGGAGAGCGCTCACTGCCCCGCGGAGCAGGCCCCGCGGCGGCGCCGTAGCAGCGTCCGCGCCTCGCGCCCGCCCCTCCGCCCGCGCCACCGCCTCCGCCGGCCCCGCGCCGCCCTCTCCCGCGCCTCGCCCATCCAGCCCCCGCACTCCGCCACCGCCGCCTGCGGCCGGCACCAGGTGCAGGTACGGGGCCGACGTCACATTCATTACGAATCGCATCCAGCGGTCAGTTTTCTCCGACTAACCCCTGGGTGTCACTGCGGTTTCTGTGACCGGGAGGTCCTAGGGTTCGAATCCTGACATTTTTAGGCTTTTTGACACTAGTTTGTCACTTAGCTCGAATTCAGTCTCTGTTTAGGGAAGTATTCTAGCGGTCCGCTGCTCTAATCGTAGTTTTCCGAGTTGTTTTTTTCGATCATCTACACATGAATGTCGGTGTAGTACCCTAAGAAACGGGCCTCGGACCGCGCACAATCTATCCTTTCTCTTCTTTCTCCTATCCTCATCCCTTTCTTACACACACACACACACACGCACACCACCAGACATGTTAGAAGACCAATCGGGAGCTTAGAGCTTGTCCTGGCTGGGGCGGTACCATGATGGTGAAAGATACCTGGTTGGGGAAAACCCCGCAAGCCGACATGTATCTCACCAAGCAGCATGAGGATGATCACTATCACCTCTCGCGACAAGATGCACTACACTTACGGGAATAATGACCTTCGTAGATTACGCGCTCGGGATCACTAATCAATGAATGTATCAGTCACGTGAGCCCGGTGCCCGTGGCAGGCGGAGGCGGCCGGGGGCGATGCGGGCGCGGGCGCGGGCGAGGGAGGGCTGCTGGCGAGTGCGCCCCCGCGCGTGGACACCGAGGCCGCGGGCGACGCTCTGGGCGCGGACGAGGACCCGCCCCCCGACGCCCTCATCAGCCTCTTCGTGCGATAGTGCCACCCACCATCACCATTTGCATGTTATTTTTCGACACTCAATAAAGAGTATTCATATCCCATCATTTGCTGTGCCGATTTGGTAGCGTTTATATCTCTTGCGTAAGCAAACAAGTAACAACAATCCTAGATAGATTAAAGATGGTGGAGAGACGTTAGTAGTTTTTATTGTGTAGGGGAAGGTCGTCAAATATCGGATACGTTTTGTTTTATTTAGTGAAAAAATATATTTTCATTCTTCACCACAGTTTTTCATTTTAATATCAACGCTAAAATATTTTGTAAAGGAGTCCAGTGCTTAGAAACGATCATTCTACGTTTTATATTTTTTTGTGATGGTTCTTACTAGATCAATAAGAGTTTTTATTTTACTAAATGTGTACATCGGATGAGAAGAGTAGCATGACTGAACATAAGCTTTACCCATAATTTCATCAATTTGATAACAGGCTAACGATATTTTAGGAGTGTTAGAAGCCATGTTTTAACTCCTTGATGATAGTAAATTTTGTATGAGCTCATAAATGATTCATAATTCTAGTTTCATATTTATAAAAATAATGAGAATACCAATGATAACACCAAAATAATAGATATCTGATATTAGGATCCCTCAAGTATCCGATAGTGGGAGCCTTAAAGCTATTTGATTATGAAATACATAACTTAAATAATAAGAGACGTAGCCGACAACAAGCTGATTCTAGTTTCAAACTAATATTCCTCCTTAATTTCATTACGCGTAATATTGGTAATATGTTGATTTTAAGAAGCGACCAGAAGAGATGGCAGAATATTTTACAATCACAAAGCCACAAACATAATTTTAACTGAAACTCTTCTAGCGTGAAGGCTACCTCCACTGTGTAATGGATGTTGGGAGAGGTAGTAGTTGGCGTAAATGCTGCATGGTTGCAAGTCAACATAGAGCTTGATATCCGATATTAGGCTCATATCCGATATTCGGCTGCCTTCGCCTACCTCCTAACTGAAATAGGAGGTACATACATTGTGACAAACAGTGCTTTAAATGTCATTGAAAATAAAAATGGAAGTAGTGTATCCTTTTACATCTTCAGACAAATGATATTAATAGACTGTAGAGACGATGAAATGCCTACATGCGATGGATTTAATAGTGACGTTAGTAGAAATTTGTCTTTACTTTAACTATTTAATAGCTAAACATTTAATAGCTCTATGCAATGGCCTCAACTTCAATTAAAAATAATGTAATGAAAGAATTGTTATTGACGATACGAGTGGTAAAAGTGACATTTTATTTTGAGAGTAGAAAATGTTGCGACGCAAGATCGATGGGCCGAGTTGCGCAATTCTTAGAAAAAAAAAACAAAATCACTCTTACGTACCACGTGTGCCATTTTTGACTTTACTGACATAACTTTTATTTTAATTCAAACATAAAAATCCCTATGTTACGAGTAGTTGCTCATATGATCAGATGAAGGCAATATTTTGGTAATATTCAGAGTTTTATCTAAAAAATTTTCACTTTTAGCAAGTGCTAAAATTTGAACTTTTCACGCTCTACAGGCCTTGAAACTGCTTTTACTGGAGTCTGACTAGCAAAATGGCTGGGAAATTACTTTATTTTTTATTTTTACAATACTATTATGGCTTTTGATCCTGCCACATTTTACGGATGAGAACCTGTCCAAAAACATGATGTAAACAAAACATGGTGCTGCTACTCAAGTTCTTTTAATTTCTTCTTCATGGACCACAATAGAAATCAAACGTTCGACATCTACTGTAAAGGATATAGTTTATGTGGAACCATATAATTAATGATTTTTTAAATGTTTGGGTCTGCAAATGGTGAAAGTGGCAAAGTTATTGAATGTGTACAGGTTAAGCAATGTGTATATAAATATTCGTCGTATTCATCAACAGGTGTAACAGTTCACTTCATTCTACACTAAGCACATCTGCTACATGGCACTGTTTGAAAACGTATGATTCTATCAGTAGGGTAAAGAAAATATTGCAGACCCCCAACTTCCACATCTACGGTCTCATCAAAGCCAAATAAATTAACATTCCCCCCGAGAATTACGGGACCACGATCAAATAATTATTCAGGAAGCCCTTGCTCCCCGTCCGCGGAAGCCTGTCGACTTTGAGGTCCTTTGGTAGCGCGTTCACCCTCTGTCCCACTGAGCACTCGCCTTTTTCCCGGCGTACCCCCCCCTCCCGCGCGCACTTGCTTGTCACTTCGCACTGCCCGCTGCTTCCGCCGCCACCGCCCCACGCCACCGCCAACCGTGTAACTTCCACCGTCACCGCTGCCGCCATCTTCCTGACCTATGTCCCCACCTCTGCGACTAACACCGGACCCCACTGTTCCACTGCCTGTTACGGGGCTCCGTTCCACGACCTCCATGTCCCAACCATCCCCGCCTAACAACCCTCTCACCCCCGTCTCCGGCACACGTGCTCCTCACCCGCCGTCGCCGGGCACCATCCCACTCACCGCCGCCGCGTCGGGTCACCACCACTCACGCCGTCCCCCGCCGCCCACCCCTCTACCATGGCCGACCTCGGCACACCTCCTCACCGCCTATCCCCTCGCGCCATCCCCATCTCACCGCCGCCTTTCGGCACCACCCATCACGCTCGCGTCCCCGCCGTCCACCCCCTCACCACCGACCTCGTCACCACCTCGTCACCGCCATCCCCCGGCGCCACCCACTCACCTCCCATGCCTTCGGGCACCACCCACTCACCCAGCCGTCCCGCGCCGCCACCCCCGTCCACGCCACCCGACCTCTGGCACAAGCCTCCTCACCGCCGTCCCCGGGTCGCCACCCCCTCATTTCCGCCGTCGGCTCGCAGCCACCCGCCTCGACCAACCCGGGGCACCGCACCACCTCTCACCACCGTCCCCGACCACCCGTCCTCCACGCGACGCCCCGCACCGCTTCGCGCTTCTTTGCTCACCACCAATCGACACCGTCTCCGCCACTGACTCCGCCGCCATCACCTCCACCACCACCAGCACCACCGCCACCCCGCGCCTGCTTTTCCGAGCGAGCGCGCGCGCACATTGCGGGATCCCCGGAGCGTCACGACGCCGCGCCGCGTCGCGCCTCTGTCCACTCGGCTGCCCCGAAAGAAGCCCCGCGCCCCGGGGGGGATTCGCGCGTCTTCGATCGCGCTCCATCTGCGTGCGACGGCGGCGGCGGCGGCGGCGGCAGCGGCAGGACTTTCCAATTAGCGCGAACCTGCCGGTCGCGAGCTGTCAACGCGCCGAGTACTTGACCGTCGAGCTGTCATTCGCCCCTCCCCTCCCTCCATTCAATTCGATGCACATGTGCGTTGTATTAGAGATGCGGCTCCGGTGGCGCTAGGGTGCTGCAGCGAATGACGCTTATTCGTTTCTAATGTGTTTAAATGAAACCAGTCAAGTGGAGCGCTCTGCGTTGAGCGCAGATGTTAATATTTGCGCAATGCAGTCACTAGTAACAATGTCCTAAAGCCATCAAATAATACGAAGAATACCCTCTAAATAATAATATATTGTAGAAGTATTACAGTTTTATATGACTCCAATCGCCGAGAGTGTACTGCTGCTGTATAAAGAACAATCCCCAAGGATGTATCAAACATTTTAGGCAGAACACTAAGAATTTCTCAAATAATATTGTAGAGAAAAGGCAAGCGCAAATACAATATGAAACACTCTTTACGGTTTTCCGTACGTTACCACTGTGTATATCCCACATATGTGAAACTCGAGTAGTTTCTTATGCCGTAATTTACAATTTAAAAAAAATTAAAACAAAACAAAACAAAACAACAACGAAAGAGACGATAAGTTCTTTCTCTTAAGTTCTTCGAGCGTATCCCCAGTCTTTAGCATACATTGAGAGAAATATTCGAAGTAGACTTTTAATTTGCATATATTTTCATTTTGAAAACAATAATTTATAGTGTGCAAAATGTTCTCATGGATTGAACAAGTTATGCATGTACGTTTTGATAAATGAGTTCAACATAACTGAATATTCTTCTAAGAAACTTCAAATATACAAAACAACAACGAAGATAACATAAATATTATGAATAGAGTATTTAAAAATAGAAATCAAGCAAGCAGAAATAACTCAAATATACATGGAATTTTTACTCCAAGGGGAAAATACCAATTTTAACGGTCGTTAAAAACCGCTTGATAATTAATTACAACGTAGAAATGTATACACAAAGAAGATAGGATTTCATTTGCACGTAGATGTATGACAGAGTGTGACACCAAAAACCCCGAACATAAACGCCAACAGACACGCCCAGACACACACATACCAAACAGCCATAAGTTATACACATGCATACATAAAAACCGATACCAACTAAAGGTTCTCGCATAAAACACACATCCATAACGCAAACTCGCTCGCACAACATGCACACTCTCTACATATATACACACACAACATACACACACGGACACAACACACACACACACACACAACATACACACACGCACAGCATACACACATACACAGAGAACATACAAGGCACATACCCAACACAGACTACAAAATACACACACACATTCACATGCACAAATAACATACACAGGCACAACATACCCAACACAGACTACAAAACACACACACACACACACATGAAACCTACATCTACTACACGCATTCGCCACACTCAACATTCGCTGCCAACACACAGGCGCGCGCGCGCCGTGTAAACCAGCGCCGCCGTTCCCGCCGCGGCACGGTCATTTGCAGCGCAGCACAGCGCCTGATGCCCTGGGCGCAGCTGCAGGGCCACGCGGAACGCGCGCGCCACTCCGCAGAGCGGAACCCTGGCGCCGGCCGACCTATTAGCGCGCGCGCACGCACGCACGCACGCACGCGCGAGCACGCGTGCATATGGCACGGGGCGGGGCCGGGCCGGCCAGCCGGTCGCTTTGTAGGCGCGTCCGGTCGCCTGTCACTCGGGCCGCGCGAACGCGCGCGTGCCGCCGGCCCCCGCGTTTTCCGCCACGCCGCCTCCCAATACCTGCAGATGTCGCCGGTGGCGGCCGGGCCCAGTGGGCGACCCACGCGACACGCTGGGGACACTGGAAGTAGGATCTCGCACTAGACGATTGGTCGGCTCTGCATTCATCCTACGGCAGTTTTATTTTTATATTTCGCTTTTAAGGCCTTGCGGCATACAAGAAACCCGTTTGATTTTGAAAGAAAAATTGTCTTTAATAAATTCGCGTATTATACTGTGGTAATTTTAGACAATATATATAATGTACGCCAGAAACACAATATGCCAATTTTACATTGTTTCCGCATAATTTAGTCCTGATATTACATGTTGTATTTAATCTATCAATACATTTTAATAAATGCAAATGTCAAAAGACAGGTCTCCACAATCGAAGTTATTCATCTATTAGATTTTATTTACTCTTCCTTTAATACGAAACCATACAAGGAGCTTTCTGTATTAGTTCAGAATTTCATATTACAATTTCTCAACAAATTTTTAAATATTTGTCTATTCCCATGCCTTTCATACACTAAAAAATTTCCAAAGAAAGTTTTAATATTTTAAAATTTCAGAATTATGACCTATACTCGCTTTGATTCAATCTTCAATTTATTTGAAACTTCCTTCTATATTGCATAATAAAAATGCACAAAGGGGAGGCTAATTTCAAGCTCCTTATTACGGGCCGCATTGACCCTGTGAAATATTTATTCGCATGGAGTTGCATTTCCGCACACTGCGCGGCGGTGGGGAACCCAGGGGCGTGGGCGGCCGGCCAGGGCGAGGGCCCCGCGACAGCGGTGGTCAGCTGTGTCCACTGCGTGTCAAATCGCACGCGTGTCCGCCACCGACAGGCCTCGAGTGCCATTTGACGGGCGCGCGTCCGTCACCTGGGCTCCGCCGCCGCCACCGCCGCTGCCGCTTTCGTCGAAGGTCGATCACGCGGACGCGATTCGCACGCGGGCGTAAGCCTATTCAGCGGGAGGCATCAAAACGCGCATGCAGGGGATTTCTGAGCGGGATCCGCGTGGAAAATCGGGCGGGGCGCGACCCATCACGCGCATGCGCTTTGAGGTGTCGATGAAGCTCTTGAAAGGACCGGTGAGTCACTTTGAATGCGGAAGCATTTCTGGCTCGCGTTTGCATGCCAGAAATGATCTCCAAGACGCAGAACGATTCATTTAAGTTTGGGAAGTTCTCGTCTGGCAGCGGAGGTGAACGGTCGTGGCCGCTGCTCCGCAGTGCTTACCTTGTTCGTTGTTGCTACGCAGTGCAAATAAGGCGCACTTCAGAGTGAACGGAATTTGATATTAGCGTACTTTCGTTAGACTTTTTTTCAGTGTGCGTGTGAAGA